GGGGGGGGGGTTTGGAGCGCTAAATGGGTAACGGGTATTAAGGAGGGCACTTGTTGTGATGAGCACTGGGTGTTATATGTAAGTGATGAATCACTAAGCTCTGCTCCTGAAACCAATACACTATATGTTAACTAACTTGAATTTAAATAAAAACTTGGAAGAAAAAAGTTATCTTCAAGTCAGTTGTCTAAATTCAAACTATACTTTTGTAAAGAAATAACATTACATATCATGGTTAAAGCTCCCAAACTACTAGTTGAAATACATTGTTGATCATGAGATGGGAAGACCATGCTATGCAGGAAGAAAGAAGCTAATGCTTTCCTTCCCCTTTCTTGCTTAGGTCAGGCACTACAAAAATAGGCAAAGTTTGTTTTAGACTCTGTTTTTTTTCTTTCCTGCCTCCATCTCATGTCCCCATTTTTCTTACTCCTCAATAAAAAAATAATTTAAAGGATCAACTATCCAGGACTGCTTTACTGTCCCCCAAAGAGTTGCATCCTCTAAATAACCTATATTCTAAACCCCTCCAGATAGCAGCTTAAATCAACCCTCCATATATCACAATACAGCATATTTCAGGAGGGTTAGGGAAAAAAACAAGTATAATAAAGGATTTTAATGGGTAAGTGATAGGATCTCAATCTTTTAAGAGTTATCTGTACTTTTAAAACACTAATACCTACTAATGCAAAGAATCTCTACCTACGTCAGATGAATGAAAATGAGTCTATACTGAAAAAATTTTCAGTAACATGTAAAGATGTTTCTAAAGAAAGGAAGAGTCCCAAGAGAAAAGACTAACTTGGAAGCCTGCAAATCCTCTTTCCAGTCTTGTCACCTTTATGTTAAATACTATTCCATTTTTCGTAACATTTTAAAGCTAGTACAGGAATCTACTGACCATCTAGAATGATCTGCAGCAGATAACTATTTCCAGTCAAGCATACTCAGGTATTGGAGGTCAGAGATTATTCACTCAATCACTAGCTTAAGTGGATACTGCCTACTCAGTATACACTGGTAAGACTTTCAAAAGACTATTACCTTTGAATACCTAATGAACTACAGCCAAGCCCACACATTATCATTAGTTAGTTAATGTATCATCAAAACAAAAGCAAGCAACAGGTAAAATTCCTTAACTTTCTCATTTAACAAAAAGAGAATAAATATTCTCTTTAGAATATGAATATTGATTCATATGTAGTTGTAGAAAAGCCTTAAAGTAACTTTCTGATATGTACATTTAAAATTCCTTCAGAATTTTGAATTGAGGTTCAAATTTTCAGCGATCTCCCATTAAATATTATGAGCAATAAGATAATTAAAAGCCTCCTCTCCACGAATCCTACAGCAATTTATTTATACTGCTATTATAGCACTATCTTTTAGAAAAAATTGTTTTTATCTACCCATTTCATCTTGATTTTCCTGAGGACAAAATCCATCTTATTCTTTCTTAATATTAACCCACTGCCACTCAGTAAACATTGCTGTATAAATGATAATAAGATATTACAATAGGAATCTGTTCCTGCACTAATATTCAAGCCTGTAAGTAAAAGTTTTGTTATAAATAGGGATGGCCTAAATAAAGAATTAGAATTTGGGCTAAACTGCATTTAAAAAAAAAAGAAACTATTACACAGATTTCCACCAGAAAGATTCAACATTACTATGACTCCCAATAAGGAGAGGACTAAGGATTTAAAAAAAAAAAAAAAAAAAAGCTCTTGGGGCACTTGGGTGACTTAGTTAAGTGTCTGATGCCTGATTTCAGGTCAGGTCATGATCCCAGGGTTGTGGGACAGAACCCCACATTAGGCTCCATGTTGACAGCATGGGATTCTCTCTCCCTCTCTCTTTGCCCCTCTCCTGCCCTCTCTCTCTCTCTCTCTCTCTCAAAATAAATAAATAAACATTTTTTTTTTTAAAGGCCCTTTTGTAGGCTGGTCAAATTGATGGCTGAATAATTTTGCTATCTTCCCTATAGTAAGTATGGAACAGCAATAAACTATTTGTTTTGGCAAATAATAATAGTAATAACAAAACCCTGAAAGGTTATAAAATGGAACTAAAATAATTCCCCAAATGAAGGCAAAAACAAGAATCTTTTTTCCTACACTGAAAATGCAATACTCTTTTATCACTTATTCATTCTCCCAAAAGGGTTATGAAGAACACATACGAGTAAAGGTTCATACAACAGCAACTCCTACAGCATGCTCTGAATCAAAGAGCTCAGAATAAGTGGAAATTAAGAGTATACCAAATCAATCCCAAGGAAAATGCTCTGAAAATGGTTTTCATGGAAACTCCTTAAACTGTTAAACATTGTTCAAAACATAATTGAATCAGGACACCTGGGTGGCTTAATCACTTAAGTGTCTGACTTCAGCTCAGGTCATGATCTCACAGTTCATGAATTTGAGCCCCACATTGGGCTCTCTGTGCCCCTCCCCCAGTTGCTGTCTCTCACAAAATAAATAAACTTAAAAAAAAACAAAAAACCATAATTGAATTTACTTTTTTAATACTCAAGCTCTCACTGTCATCATCAAATTAAAACATCATGTAATGATGCTCCAAAATGTCTGACTTATACAGGGTTCCCCAGTATTAAACAGGGCTGTGCGGTTTTATAGTCAGTTTATGTTGTCCTTTCTTACAAATAACACACCAACTACTTATCACTTAATTTGTTTTCATGAATTTTCATTTCTATTTCCTTACTTTTAATTTGGTGTTATCTGGAAGAAACTGAAAATTATTTTGTGAATTTAAGCTTGTAAAACCAGTCACCCACATATAATATACAATGTCAATTGAAAAAAATAAGCACTTGATTCCTCAATATTTTTATATTTCCAAATGGGGAGGTTGCTAGATGTTCAATAGGTAAGTAAATGGAACATTACTTATAAGAAGCAGTAGTTTCCTGGGGTGCCTGGGTGGCTCAGTTGGTTAAGTGTCCGACTTCAGCTTAGGTCATGATCTCACTGTACCTGAGTTCAAGCCCTGTGTTGGGCTCTGTACTGACAACTCAGAGCCTGAAGCCTGTTTTAGATTCTGTGTCCCTCTCTCTCTCTCTCTCTCTGCCCCTGTCCCACTTGCACTCTGTCTCTTTCAAAAATAATAAATATAAAAAAAAAAAAAGTAGTAGTTTCCTTTCTATGGAATTACTAACTAGATGTCAAGCACATTTCTAAGTTATATTACTCACTATACAGGACTTCTGAAAAGAAACACTTAAAAACCTAATAGGATTATAGTTAGTATGAATTTCAGTATTCATGTTTGTTAAATGAATAAATTTCAAAATAAAGTTCTGATGACATTATTCCCCCATGATAAAAACAATATCAAATGTTTCCTATTACCTTAAAATCACTGTATCATTTTGCCGATTCAAATATCCTTCATTGGCAAGTAAGTCCAAACGGAAAAATCTATTATAACCCCAGCATTCTCCAACTTCAAAGTCAGATGCAAATTCTCGAATGATATTTTTGGTAGGATCATTGCAGGACTGATGAACCATCTCTACACGATACTCATACCTAAATTTGAAAAACAGACTATTAATACAGAGTTAATAAACAAGAATAGAAGACAAACATACTGAAACACTAAATAGGTCATTAATTACCTGAGAAAAAATTTATTGACACTTACATTTCTTTCAGAAATGACTATCATTTATAAAGACACCAGTTTTGTAATGGGCTCCGACAAAATGATTGACACCAGGTCCTTTTTCCCTCTTAAAAATGTTTACCAATAGAGGTGCCTGGGTGGCTCAGTTGGTTGAGCATCCAACTCAGCTCAGGTCATGATCTCATGGCTTGTAGGTTTGAGCCCCGCATTGTACTCTGTGCTGACATTGCAAAGCCTGCTTGGGATTCTCTCTCTCCTTGTCTCTCTGTTCCTCCCCTACTTGTGTTCTCTCTTAAAAGAAGTAACTAAAAACTTAACAAAAATTTAAAAAACATGTTTACCAATATAGCAGGTATAAAACAGCACCTCAAAAAATAAATAAATTTTGTAAAAAATAGTACTTTCAAAGTTACTTTTGCTTTAACAAAAGCAAAAGTGAGTACTTACTCACAGGGATGCTAATAAAATATAATTAAAAATGACAAATTATTAAATATTGGTGAGGATGTAGAGAAATATGAACTCTCATACACTGCTGGTAGAAAACAGAATTGTGCAGTCACTGTGGAAAAGCTTGGCAAGTCCCCAAAGATGTTATAAACACAGAATTACCATATAATCCTGCAATTCTATACTAGGTGTATATTCAAAAGAAACAAAAACATATGTCCATATAGAAACTGTACGGGATTACTCATAATAGCCAAAAGTTGCATACAACCCAAATATCCATCAGCAGATGAATGGATAAACAAATTGAAGTATATACTTAAAATTGGATATTATTCAGTCATATAAAGGAATGATGTTCTGGTATATGCTTCAACATGAGCAAACCTTGAAAACACCATGCTAAGTGAACAGACGCCAAACACAAAAGGTCCGACTATAGGATCTTCTATATGAAATAGCCACAATAGGCAAATACATGGAGACAGAAAAAGCAAAATTATATTTATCTAGGTATAGGGGAAGAAAGGAATATGGAGTGTTTACTTAATAGGTATGGGGTGTTCTGGGGTGATGAAAACACTCTGAAATTAGAAAGAGGTGATGGTTTACAACACTCTACATGCATTGAATTCCACTGAATTGTATATTTTAAAATGGTTAATTATTCTTCCAATCCATGAGCACGGAATGTTTTTCCATTTCTTTATATCTTCTTCAATTTCCTTCATAAGCTTTGTATAGTTTTCAGCATACAGATCTTTTACATCTTTGGTTAGGTTTATTCCTAGGTATTTTATGATTCTTGGTGCAACTGTGAATGGGATCAGTTTCTTTGTCTTTCTGTTGCTTCATTATTAGTGTATAAGAATGCAACTGATTTCTGTACATTGATTTTGTATTCTGAGAATAGCTGAATTCATGTATCAGTTCTAGCAGATTTTTGGTGGAGTCTATTGGGTCTTCCATGTATAATATCATGTCATCTGCAAAAAGTGAAAGCTTGACTTCTGGAAACAGTGTGGAGGTTGCTCAAAAAATTAAAAATAGATCTACCCTATGACCCAGCAATAGCACTGCTTGGAATTTACCCAAGGGATACAGGAGTGCTGATGCATAGGGGCACTTGTACCCCAATGTTTATAGCAGCACTTTCAACAATAGCCAAATTATGGAAAGAGCCTAAGTGTCCATCAACTGATGAATGGATAAAGAAGTTGTGGTTTATATATACAATGGAATACTACGTGGCAATGAGAAAGAATGAAATATGGCCTTTTGTAGCAATGTGGATGGAACTGGAGAGTGTTATGCTAAGTGAAGTAAGTCCTACAGAGAAAGACAGATACCATATGTTTTCACTCTTATGTGTATCCTGAGAAACTTAACAGAAGACCATGGGGGAGATGAAGGG